CTCAACTGTTTGCCTTGTCCCCTCCATTGCTTCAGATCAGCGCCGAGGACCGCCTCCCAACCGATCCCAGGTGCCTTCGATGCCATGCACCAACACACAGAGGTCTTCTCGACACGCCTGAACGTCCGGGCCGGCTGGGGGCCTGGGGGTTCGAAACCAGTAAGTGTAGTCATCGGGTGAGAAGCACATATCATGCAGGCATCGATATGTATGTGAATATGTTACATGTATCCACATGTGTTTTCTGTGCATCTTTGAGCAGGTGTCCATTTGCACATATCTCCATCTTCATTGAAATGACCAAATGCCCTTTACGCATGAAATGCTTCAACTGAGAAGTTCCTTCTAAAGCAGCCTCTTGCGTAAAACAAATCCACTAGCTTTGATTTACAATAGGATAATAGGAATCCTTTGGAAAAATCACTTTCGGTTGGAAGAATCTCCTCTTATCATGAAGGGATGGGATGCCCCTTCAAGATCAAGGCATCTCCTGTTTCTAACATTTCATGTTGTACAGAAGGGGTGTTGAGTGTTGAGCACATTGAATCTTGAGTTATTTCTGCTTAGCCTTGTGCGTCCCAATTGTCCTAAATTTCTGGTAGAAATTGGGAACTAAATGAAGTAAGAACTAACAATGCACAACAGGAGATGTCTGAAACGTCTTAGTTCAGGTACAGGGGACTTTTGTGAGCCTCATAGTTCTAGAAATGAAACCAGCTGGGAGCTAAGAACTTGGAAATGAGAATTGGCAGAATTGGTGTGATTGTTGGAAATGACTCTAGAATTGGCTTTGGACCATTGGGCCGACCAATTCTACGTGGCGTCAACTCCTAGGCGTCAAACGGTGTGTGTGTGTGTGCGTATGTCCCAAAAAGCGTGGTGCTCTGGAAAGAGGTGTGGCGTAATATATGATATGCATGTGTGTGTGCTACCCCCCAATATAAATACCAATCAAAAACCAAAAGAAGTAGACATTTGGGGGGGACCATATATGTATATATGTATATACAAAAAATGTACACGTACGAGTCATGTCAGTTTCGCTGAATAAGAATCCATCTGTGCCCTGGCTGATGGAAGAAGATAGGTGTTATTTTTCTTTGGTGGGTGCTAGCATATCTATAGTCTATATCTATGTATACCTATAGTCCTATAGATCTTCTAGGGCCTAGGGTACATATACACATATATTCGGCTGCATCAGTTAAGCTTGACTTGGGGCATAACGAATCAGCTTCGGACGAAATTCTTTTTCGCTCAAACTTTCTCTGTTCAAAGGTGCTTTGGTTAATGTGACACAGTCCCAGCAGCCCACGCTGCGTGCACCCCTGGTGCATACCTCTGCCAGGTTTTCGTTTCCAATGCACTCAGACTCACCCAAAGCACTCAGAAGAACTGGAAGACATGACTCATAAGTATCCGTGAGGCGCACGATACCGGCCAAGGTAGGGACCACCAGCCGAAAACTGTATGAGCTGAGCTGCTGGATATCCAGTACACCATCGAAATAGGGCTTGATCACCCGCAAGAACTGCCCTATGGAAACCGGAACAGCCGTATCTGCATCGAAGGCCAGGTAGTGCCACCTGCGAAAAGCTTCACCATGCCGAGGGCGAACTTTATCCAAATGTCGCTTCAAGGGGTCATACAGGTCCAGGCTCCCCAACGTCCGTGGGAGAGACCAAGCAAACCGGTCACGGGTACGAGTACCTGTTTTGCCTTTGTAACACCAGAAAATCATAATGGCGGAATTCGCTCCGATGAGATAGCTCCGTTGTATGTGACAAAACCTGATAAGGCCGAATACCATTACCGCGGCGGCCAATGAGCATGCTCAGCTGTATATTCCAAGACACCCATCAAATGCGTCACCATTCCGGTTCGAGGGCAGCTGCCTGCGATTGTCCTTGCCCCAATCGAGTGCTCCTGACAGGGGGAGGCGTCCAAATCCAAGAGGACCCGCAGATTGCGAATCATCCAGCCCAAGGAAGTGAAAACACGAGTAGGACCATGGTGTTCACGAATAAACGTAGCCAGGGCATGAGGATCTGGGAACTTGATGCCCAAATGGTCCATGTATCGCACGAGGTCGCCTCAGTCTTGGCACAAATCTTCTCCAAACGGGAGTGCCAATTGGCATGTACTCGTCGTTGCGGGCCGGCGGCGGTGGCATCAAAGTCAGCATGATGCCCAAGAGGTCCCGGATGAACAGAGAGGCGACACCTCCCTGGGCGCCAGACAGGCGCTCCTGCACCTTCTTTGGGCCCAGCAAAAGAAGACGGCTTAGGGCGGGCCACCAAAGACGTAGGTGGGGATGTAGCCGCGGCGCTCGAAGGTTGGGGAGGCCGAGACTGGCGCACTGTCTCGCGAGCAAAGAGATTCCGCACCAAAGCCGCCATGCCCGGTTCACTTTCACGTCGGGCAAGCTCCCAGCCGTCGGCAACGGCCCGGCCGGCCTCCCTGAGCGCCTCGTCATAGGACACGAAGTAGAAGGCCAGGTCGCTGGCTGACTCGATTCCAGCGGCAACGCACCAAGTGTTCAGGCGCTCTTGCTCAACAGCGCGTCGAGCAATTTCTTCAGCCATGGCAACGCTGCAAAGAAAATCTCAAAGAGTCAGTGACTCCGACTCTTTAGGAGAGGCACTCCTTTTTGGCTTGAGCCCCAAGCTTAAAAGGAGTGAACTTAACATGACTGACATCAAAGAATCACCGACCCTGCCTACCTTGAATGAATGAATATATACACACATGTCTGTCGAAAAAGGTGCCTAAAATATCCTAAAATCCATGATGGCATATATACTCCCCCTCTTCTCCCGGTGACCCCAACTCTCCCCACCCACCCGACCTTACTCCACCCCACACACACGCCTGCTGCTCGGAGCCTGGAGACGTCGAACCGTAGACCATCGTAAACTCTAACTCTCCATGTGTTTCCTGCTTGAGGATGACGCAACAGAAAATGCGAGTGCAAGAAGGACGCTGCTCTCACGGTTGAAAACCTCCCTCAAACACAGCTACGCACTCAGAACCAGCTGGTAAAAATAACAACGTCCTCAAAACGATGAAGAAACAGCCTGACCAGGCAATTCCACATGCAAAGAGCAACCCACCTCCGATCTAAATGGGCGAATCCTAGGCTGGTGTTGCATGGATGGGACCAAAAAGCTGACCTCAGGAAGTAAAGCCATGGCCATAATTGGTATATAGTTGGGGCACACTCCAGAAATTCCTGAGGATGGGCTGCTGGAAGGTGCCTGTTCAAGCACCATCATCTTCGATTTCTCCGGGAACCCACCTAGCAACCCGAAACCTGGGAACCCCGGTCCCCAGCCCCGAATGCAACTTCCCACCTGGCTTCACCAATGCCTCACGCGAAGAAATGCCACATCAAACGTCCAACATGGCCCTTGGGCCCATCAAGTGGAAACATCTGAGGGTGGAAACGGCCAGTCTTCTTAGTCTTCTGCACCCCTCACCCAGCACAGGTGGCCGTTCGTAAGGCGAGCTGAGTTTTTCATTCAGAACTGGTCGGAAGATATTGGAGAAGCTCTAAAAGGTTGGAGATGGTTTCGGAGAACTGGAGAGAAGGTAAAAAAAAGACGAGTGGTGGATTCTTTTGCGGCCGGAGGTTTTGTGAACATGTGCATGTCCAAGTGGCGCGAACCAAAGCGGAATGTCCCAAACTGTCCTGAAACAGAAGTCTCCACGCGTCCGCCACCACCACGCCTCGCGCAACGACCATCGTTGCCCCATGGAGGCTCCCGTGATCGCCGGGAGCGTTGGAACGAGCCGAGGAAGAAAAAAGGAACACGCGGTCGATCGGTCGGAGTGTGAATGTCTCTCCGGTCTCTCCAATCCGAGGCGCCCTTTGAACAAGAAAAAGAAAAACATGTGCCAGTGCGCACAGTGCCCGGAAGGCCTCGTAGTTTCGGTGTCAAGTCTGTTGCTTTTCGTCTTGTTCTGGCCTGTGTTTGGTGACTGAGGGTGCAACAGGTGTGGCTTGTAAGGGGCTTGGCGTGGCACTTCGTGTTTCAGAGCACCCGCACCCAAATGGCTTTGCAGAGTTCTTGGTCGCCATGTTCTGACCAAAGATACAGCAGCTGCACCATGAGCCATCACGGCAGGCAGTATACCAAGAGCGGATCTGCTTTCACAGTTTGCTGGCCATTTCTTCTGCACACTATAGATGGCCGCTTTTCCTCAGAAAATAGTGGCACCGTTGGTTTGATCGGTTGGTTGGAGGTGCCCAAGCTTTTCCTACAAAGTCTCTTGCTTCATGGTCCGTGAAAGCCAAGCCGGTGAACCCAAAATACACCCTGGAAGACTGACATGAACCCTGAAAACCACTGCCCGGTAAAGGAAAACAATTTTTCAGGTGCCATTGTCAGGGTCCACGTTAGTTTTCGGGAGTGTAATCCAAAGATCTCACCCCACAAATTCATCAAACCCATGGCATCATCAAGACTGAACCGACACCCAAGCAAGGTCTTGGGCTCATTGTGCCAAGACTTCCTACAAACTGGTCTTGTCGGTTTCTCCCCCTCCGGCCCGAGTCAGAGCGAAGAAAAAGATTGCAGAGTTTTGGCTAATTAAATGATGTTGGTCGGGGCAGGACTAGTTTTGATGCCTCCTTTTCAAGTTTATCAGCATCTTCATGAAATCATCGCACCCCCAAAACAAATGGAATGAACCCTATCATAGGTCACGGCCTTGCGGCCCCCGGCCGAACTGGGCCTAGACCTAGACCCTCGCAGTCCCACACTCGGGTGAACGTGGACAGTTCTCCCCGCATGACTGGCCGCCTGGCTGGCCGCCCCCCCAAAGCCCCGAAGACTCGGAGGAGCCCATTAGGGAATCCGAAGGCCCAACCAGGCGGGCGCCAGTCCTGCTTCCAGGCCTTTGTCTCAATCAGATGGCACGGCCCCTTCCAAAACATCAACGTATTGGGAATGATGCTCCATGACGGGACCCCCATGAAGTTCGCCGGGCGCCCGGACCATCGAAGCCACCACAGACCACCAGCCCGTGGCCTCGGCACGGCTCCGCGGTCGGCGCCGAGGCACCCAGGTGCGGCTGCCCAGCAGGCACAGCGCCGAGCCGGTGGCCCAAGTACTTCTCTTTGGGCCAACCAGCCCCCAAACCCATCAACCCTCCCACAGATGCGTTCGGTGAACCTTAGCCAGTTGGCCGCTAGTTTCCTCATCTCATTCGACTTCACTTCAAAAGCATCCACACGCCCCCCAGCCGGGCCTAATGCCTGAACTATTTAACTAGTTTCTGTCACGAAACTATTGCGTAAAATGAAAGAAAGGACCTTTCCTGTCTTGAGCCCAAAAAGCACGAGGGTCGCCACATGAGACTTCTTCCCACGCGCGACCGGGGTTTCACCGGCCTTGGACCACAGCGGCGGTGGCTCCGGAGCGCCTCCGAACCCGCGGAGCGACGGAGCGAACCCCGGAGCTGCCGGGACGGTATCGGGGCGAAGACGGACAGGTGGAGGTAGATGCACCATGAGCATGGATGGAAGTGATGGAAGAATTCAACTTTAGAAGGCCCAAACCGCTGCTGCATGGCTACAGGCCTTGTAGCTGCAGGTTCCCCATAGGTTGTAATGACTCAACATGTTTTTCAGGATGTTAGTTTGCGTTTGGCCCCGGCCGCTGGTTCGATAGCAAAGCTCGATGTTCTGGTCTGCGGCCCCGTCTGAAATTCAGCGCTGTTCGCTGCCGGAGGTCCATCGAATTGACGTGCCATGACGTTCCACCAAACCAGGAGCAGAAGATCAACAGCACGCAGCAGCAAGCAATGCGGCCCTGATAGGCATCTGCCCACAAAGCACCTTGCAAACAATGCCGCTACCGTTGATGACTTGCCTTTTTAATCTGCATCACCAACTCACCAAAACGGCCTACAAAAAATCGAAAAGCCACTAAGTGTCCACATTTTCCCCCCTCTGGACCGCGTGGTATGCCCCGAAAACCACCCCCTAGATTCACTAACTTTGTTGGGACAAACTCACCGATACGCCTGGCGTATCGGCTGGCTTTCGTTATAGGTCTACTTGCATGTCCAGTAAGTTACTTACAACTTCGATGTCTACAACTTCGGTTGGAACTTGTGGAAGCTACAGAAGATGAAACCAGCTACAACGATGTTGTAAGAACTTCAAGAAAGAAACACAAATGGACCGCCAGAAACCTGCAACCAGGTATGGATCAACCAGGCCGGTCATCTATGATGGCCTTTATAGGCCTTGGCGACGCATGGCTCCAGGCCTGCCCTCAAGACTCGCAGGTGTGTGGCCTGTTGCTGGAACACATGTCCCAAGAAATACCTCCAGTCAACAGACCATTCCTAACTACCAACCCTCCCACAACGCAACGGCCATCTACACACAACGCACGGCTGGTGCGCGATGTCCACCAAAGCCCAGGAAACCCCTGATCTCCTTCTCAAAAGTCTGTTACCAGAATCAGCACCTTGTTCTGCGAATGTTGGCCCTCCCTCGCACGCAAACGTGGGCATCTCCAGGAGTGGGCCATGGCCTGCAGTGCATGGGCGGCAGCTCTTGCCAGGTGCCTTGTCGACCGGAACGGCTGAGAATCGGCCCAGGGAACCAGGTGGAACCAGCCGCACAACCCCAGAGTCTCATAAGTTCACTCCACCAACTCGGGCGGAAAGGTCCAAGAAAAAGGAAAACATTGGTTGTCCAGGGTCAGCTCGCTGGCCTTGGATGAACCAAAACGAACCAGAGTGCACAGCCCCTGTTGCTCATGTCTGGGTCGCAGCTGCCAGGGCCCCAAGGCCAGCAACGCAGGGCCCCGCCAAGTTCAGAATCATGTTGAAACAGACCCCCTCTACCGGAACCATTACCGCCAAGATGAGCAAGTGGCGTGATGCAAGACTGGCTCATATTGGCTCAACAGGTGGGTGGAAACCAAGAAAGAAACAACCAGAAATAGACAGACCGCTACTTTCCAAAAAACATACTAAATCTTGACAGTCTTCTACAGTAATGGAACATTAATTTAGGTTGAAATCATTCAGGAATGGTCGAAACCGACAAAAATTAAGCCTGGACATGTAAAAAGCATGCACGCAAAGAACTGTTGGTCAACCTCTGTAATTAACTGAGACCCTACGGGTCCCTCCAACACCCGTCTTGTGACCCCCTCATGATTCGCGCATGTCACACATGGGCCATCGGAATCCTTAAATATATACCAGGACCATCCAAGGGGTGTTCAATGCCATTGGGCACCCCCTTGGATGGTCCAGGTATGTATATATATATATATGGTGCCTCCCGCCTCCCGCTCCCATGGATGCGATGACTGTTGGGTGTGGCACTGATGAATCGGCCGATGGGTCCTGGACCACCCGGCATGCATCCCACAGACCCGAGTGCCCAGTGACCGGAGTTCACCGATCGGTGCGCACCCGCGCACCTGCCATGGGGTCGAAGCGAACCGCTTGGTCCAGCTGCCGCTGTCCATCGAAGCCTGGCGCCGACCAAGAGACGCAAAGAGAGGTGGTTTTGGCACAAACAGGTCAGAGGGTTTCGCACAGGGTTTCCTCGGTCGGGGTGCCTTACTGTACTTTTGGTCACTACTTCCACCCTGCCAGGAAAGCATGGTCGCGAGAATCATCATAACAACCAACATTCTGCCTCTTGCCACGGTCATCCGCCACCCAGGATCCGCCACCCTCCCACGTCCACGGTGTGTGTGTGGGTGGATCCTCCTATCTGGAGGGAGGATCGGAACCTTCCGGATCGATCGGCGCAGTTCTTCGGAAAAACCACGAAAGCAACCCTCACACTCACGGTGACCTCTTGTGTAACGAGGCATGTTTCAGAACAATGTCGATCTTAGTGATCAAAGCGTGTCTTAGTTTTACTCGAGACTCACCTGATAGGCAGCCTATAAGTCATAGAAATGGCCCTCCTAGCAGGCAGCATGTGGAAGGTTTCTCAAGACTGGCAGCATAGACAGCCAGTGAGCAGCATGAAGAGCGGCTTCTCCACCGGTCTCTTTGCAGCCACCGCTACACTTCCCCAAAAGCCTCAGGCTTAATGTACTTCTTGTGGCCCACCGCAGGATCGCTCGGAGGGCTGAAACTGATTTCTCTTAGCATAGCAGCTAGCTAGAGTCGAGCAGCTAGTCAACCAATTGCACCAAGACTCAAGACAAACATCTGAGTGGAAAACCATACTGAAACTAGGTTGCACCTCAAGGTCGCGACCAGCTCCGCCTCCACTCTCGTCTTAGAACCCACATCTTGATGAATGAACCCCATGTTGGGGATAGGTATGCTAAAATCAATCAACCGTCATCACCAAGGTGGATGCCACCGAGCTCGAAGAGTGGCAGGTTGCAGCTCGAAGCTCCCCGCAAAGCTCCCGCCGTCGCGTGCATCGCTGGCGTCGCGCGCTCGCGTCGGAAGCCCCGGCTCGGCCTCCACAGACCACGATTTGGCCCCCTAAGACTGCAGCAACAGAGGCCTGCAACATCCACAGGTGGCGGAATCAGATCGGGATTCTGGTGACTTTGGGCGGTGCTTCACCACTTCCTGGTGAACTTGGAACTATCTGTCTAGGTCAGTTCAACCCCCCCAAGCAACCGAAAACCTGCGCAATCCCCCAACGCAAGGCTCGGCACCACGCCTCGCGCGGTACAGGGAGGGCCGGCACCTGGGCTCACCATCCCTCACTGATCTCCTTCAATTGGGGTCGTGAGCATGTAGCTGTTGAATACGAACGATCTGGAAGTGAAAAGTCAGTCAAGAAAGCACTACGAACAACATGAACTGCGGCCCGGAACGATTTGATCCTTGGCAGCAACAACGGAAGGTCTTTGAAAGGCAGGTCATGACGGAATGATCCACCCATTGGCTCTGCAGCACCGAAGGCCAGAAATAAGGCCCCAGACGGTCGGACGGCCAAAAGCTCTCGATATACTCTCCCGCTGTCACGATCCCATTAGAACCAGAGAAAGAAGACCGGTGGTGAAACGACCCATGTTCCGAAGACCGACCTGGTTTTGGGGTTCCATGTGGTCCTCTGCAGCAAGGGGAGTAAGGCCTCCGGACTCCAGTTCTGGTGTGTTCTGTTCTTCAGGACCCCCTCCAACTTGCCACCAGGCGCTGGTCCACAAGGCGCTCAGTCACCGATGACCAGGCGCCCGCAGTTCCCCCGCCAGTTCGTGGCTGAGCTTCCGCAGATTGGTCTACCGTCTACCAGCCCATGAATCACTCAAAACTGTTCGAAAAAAGATATGGAGAAGAACTCTCAAAGTCTTCTGCGCTCTGGAGACTTCGCCTGCACTCTTCAGCCAAAACTCCCGCCAGAATGAACTTCTGGACCAACAACTTCATAAAAAAAAGGAACGCCCGGAAAGTGCCGCAACTTTCCAACCCAACCTGCCAGCGGTTGCTCAAACAAGGAGCGTCTACGCCTGAACACTCCAGTCCCACTCCTTCCCACTCCTTCTGTCCCACTCCACCGGTCCATCCAAGGCACTGAGCCCCAACTGTTCGCCTTGGGGTCAAAGCGATGCACCTCCGACAAAAGCCTCCCGGACCAGGCAGACTTCGCTCGCCCGTCGCCCCCCCCCCCGCGCACGGCGCACCCACCGCGCCAGGGGGAGGGGGGTGGAACCGCACCAGGGGCGCTGGGGGTGCTTGACCGACCGACCCGCGGGGGAAGTGTCAAACCGAGCCGCGGCGGGCCACCCTACCGATCCGAAAGAGGTGGAGGCGGACACCGTCCTCGAACCCGTGGGGGACGAGGTGGAGAGGAGACCCGTTTCGTTCCGCTCCCACAAGCCCCAAGAAGCTGGGTCTGGGGGAGCGCTGGGAGGTCGAGGATTCCTCTTAAGCTGGCTGATTCTTGGGGCACGTCTCGGTGATGCTTTTCAGGATGGAGAGCAATTGAACCGCAACAAATTGCCAACAAACCACAAGGTCCACACCTGAAGACCCCAACAGATGGCAGATTGATAGAACAGTCACACGCAGGACGGACAAAAGATGCAAGCATGCAAGTATATACCAGCTTGAAACTCAACCAATCAATCATTGGAGGAGACCGTTCATCGTGGAATTGTTTATTGGATGTTATTGGATGATACCGTCTTCGCGCTGTCTGATCACCTTCCCATCAGGCACCACTCGGGAATGATAGTGGATGAGATGGTTTCACCCTCATGTCCAGCAGCAACAAGCGCACGGCAGTGGCGACAACAATCAAGCTGACCCTGTTTAACAAATGAAAGCGCTGGCCAATTCCTTCGGCAAATGTTTTCACATGTCAGTCATCTCCACATCTGTGTGAAAACACGTCGATCGCCCACAGTCAATCGGTCAGAGACCTGCGAAGTTCCCCGGAAGAAATGCCTCCGAACAACGGACACCCGACGGCCTGCTGCCGTCGTAGCCGCCGCAAATGAAGACTTGGCCGCGGCCGCCGGCCTCGGGGCGACGGAAGAAGTGTGGCCGGCGCCCCAGAGCGGCTTCCCGGATACAAGGTGGAAAAAAGAGAAGCAAATGGTGTCCTTGATGTTTGGTCCTTCCCTTCTCGCTTCTCGCTTCTTCTTCCTTTTTTCCTCCTTCTTCAGCGAAGACCACACGCAGCCACTTCTTCTCAAGCTGCGTTCTGGGCGCCATCGCTTGCAATTGGAATGCCAGGTGTTGGCCTTCCGCCTGCTGACTATACAAGCGCAAGTGCAGATCAAAATGCCATGCACCTGCAAAATTGCTCTACAAGGGGCGTTCGAGATGACTCTGAAAATTGAAGCGCCTTGTGTCAAGCACCTGGCCCAAGCTACGATATCACAAGCTTTGCAACTCAAGACCTCATGACAAAAGAATCAAAATATCAAAAACAGGAATTGCTGGTAGGTTCCGAGATGCCTCCTAGCTTCTATGCTCGACTTCTGCCAGGCAACGCTTGCAGGGCCCCGCAGGCCGCCCGCAGCATTCAACCAGACAATGCTCAGCCGATCTCGAGTCTTGTCTGGCCCTCTCTGGAAGCCATCAAGATCTCTATGGCGTGAGCCCATGCCACAGGGATGGGAATCGAACTCATGCTACTGAAGTTGTTGGTTGAAATTGGGAACATTGGGAGGTTTGAAATTTGACGTCTTTATACATCTTTTAACCTTCCATGGCGCCAGCCCTGGCACCGTCTCACCTCCTTGGGTCGAGTCTAGTCCCTGGCGCCTCGTGCAAGTACCGGTGACAAGCACGAGGCGGCTGGCATGCTCTGCGGCATCACCGCGGTGCCTGATCACTTGCATCACCGCCCGGTGCTGACGAATCACAGGCGGCCAAAGAAAAGAAGAGGCCAACAAAAATGATGGACTCCGCGGAGTGTTTTTCCAACACAACATGATCCTCCGGAGCATCTTCTGGCTTGGACGACATGTTCACCACTTGTGTCGGTACGTGGACCCGCGCAAGCTCCTGCCAGACACAGCACTCTGCTCACCTTCCTCCACCACGCGGCACTTGCTGCACCAAAAGGGCCACCGCCAGGGCGGATAGCACTTGTGTTTGTCATTGGCCTTCTCCTCCACACAGAGGAAGGCCATAGTCTTCCAACCTTCGTTGGCAGCAGATCCCTCGTACTGCTGGCAGACCTCGCCGCAGACCGGCAACTCGCTGGTCACCTCAGACCTGCGCCTGCACTCCTCACAGCCGCTGCACCAGGGTGTGGCGCAGAGGCGCTGCTTCACTCGGTCCAGGGACGATCCCCGAAACCACTTGTAGGTCGGACACACGGAACGACATCGGCCGACACTGGCAGGACTGGGCTCGTCCGTGGTCGTGGCCGTCGTGCTGGTCCCCGTGGTCTCCGTCCGGGTGGCGGAGCGTGTCGTGGTGGGCATCGCCAAGACGCTCTGGAAGTCGATGGTGCTGACGTCGGCACCTTGCAGCGAGGCGCCCCAGGCTTGGCCGGTCCGTGCCTTGCGGTCCACGGCCAGGAATGCTCGCGCATTGGCCCAAACGTCTGTGACACCCCTGAAGTCCAGCACACTGCAATTGCCACCATAGGCGTCTTGACCCCAGCAATGGCCTGCGCCGGTGACGGTGTTGATGGCTGCGAAGACCGTGCTGCTGGGGTAGATCTCAAAGCCATCCAGGCTGTCGACCAGCGGGCAGTTGCCTCCATAGCCGTTCAAGCCCCAGCACTGTGCCGTGCCACTGCTGTCCACGGCCAAGAAGGCATAGTCGTTGCTGTACATCTGCGTGACGGCAGTGAAGTTCACACCACTACAGTCACCCCCCCGGGTGAAATCGCCCCAGCACTGTCCACTGCCCGACCTCCAGGCCAAAAATGCGGCCGCCGTGGAGTAGATTTGCACCTCTCCCGAGAAGTCAATGCCACGGCAGTCGGCACCACTGCCGCCCCAGCTGCCACCCCAACACTGGCCCAGGCCACTGTTCTTGTTTATGGCCACGAAGGCCCTGCCGTTGGTGTAGACCTCGGTGATGCCCGTCAAGGTCACCGAGCTGCAATTGCCTCCATAGGCGTCGCTGCCCCAGCAGCGGATGCTGCCCGCCGCGCGGTCGAAGGCGACGAAGGCGCCCGTGGAGGCGATGAGCTCCGTGACGGTCCCCAGCGAGCGGGCGCTTCCGGTCAGGTCGGAGGCCTCGCAGTGGCCTCCATAGGAGCTGGAACCCCAGCACTGCAGGGTGCCGTTCGCGCTGTAGGCCGCATAGGCGTACTTGTTGCTGGCGATCTGCGTCACTTGGCTGAAGTCAATCGTGCCACAGGAGCCACCGTAGGAGCTACGGCCCCAGCAAACGCCTCGCTTTCCCACGGCGTCGAAGGCTAAGAAGCTCAAGTCGGTGGAATAGAGCTCGGTAAAGCCCGCCAGGTCCACCGTGCTGCAGTCACTTGAGAAACATCACGACACCCACGACAAAGGCCCTTGCTAGGTCACCCAGTAGGGGACATGACCCCAAAGAATGTCTGAAAAATGGAAAGCAGGACCCCAAAAAACCTCCTTGTGTCTTTGGTCTTCCTCAATTTGGTGTTGTTTGTTCATCTTTTCCGCTCTCGTTGTTCTTGTTGCGCGGCACATGCATCGTCCTCCCCTCGGTCTTCATCGACACCGACCGACCCCGGCGGGCCTCCGTAGGTCGCATAGCCCCAGCAGCTGCCGCCCGACGTCCTCAGCACCGCCATGGAGCGAGAGTTGGCCTTCACCTGAACGCGGTGAACTCAGTCGAACAACGTCGCGCGACCCGTGGAACTGCGGGTCAGGGCAAAGGGAGAGAGAGGAAAAAAAGACCGTAGAATATAAAGGGAGCTGTCAAAAGCGGACCCTGTTAGTTCAACAAAAAAAACGAGGGAGTCTTTCAATCTTTGTCTTATCTCTTCGAGGATCGCTACCACCTTTTCAACTCCTCCACCTGAAGAACTCCCGTGAAATCCACCGAACTGCAGTTCCCGCCGTACTTCGCGTCCCCCCCAGCATGCCGCCAGGCCGGAGGCCACGTTGACCATGGCAAAGGAGAAGTCATTGGAGACCACCTGAAGATCGTCGACCCCATGGGCTCCCAGGAAGAAGAGGCAGAAGATCCCGAAGCGTGCCATGAAACACCCGCTGTGCTGTGCTTTCGCACGCCGCGCGCTGGCGGTTGAGGTCAACGAACTCTTCTTTGGTGCACCAGACAACGCAGTGATCAAAACCTTCACCCAGTCAGCTTTAAGGACGGAATCCGAGGGCCAGTTCTCTTGGAGTTGGTCCGAAAAGTTCAAGGCAAAACTTCACAGCACTCTGGCTGTTCTTTGGCCTGATCTTCTTGCGCGGTTTGAGCTCAAAATGCTTGAGGCAACAGACAACCAAGTACTGGCCTGTGAAACACCCAACGACCTCCTAGGCATGTCAACGTCACCTTAAAACGCAGCAGGCCTCAAAGAACAAAAATGAGATAGAAGATATATATATATATAACTATATATATACATACATACATTGATCTCTACATGGGCGGTGACCGTCACTAATCAACATCCCGAGGACGGCCCAAGCACGACGACGCGTGGAAAAGGTGGCAATTTCTTGGGCCGCGCGGCTGCCAAGCAATCCACTGCCTGCCGCGGCGCCCGCTCATCAACCAAGGGTCTTGCTTTGGCGGTGTGTCTTCCCGAAAAAGGCTGGAGTCGTCTTTTTGCCAGGCGCCCTTTGCCCCCCGGAGGGTCTGCTCCTTTTTTCCTCTCCCACACTCCTTGATGTTAGGGGGGTATCAGGTACCAACCCGTTGTGGACATGAGGAATTTCACAACGGTCGATCTTCGTACCGGGTGTCTTTGTTGTGGTCTCTTCCGGCACTTCCAATCGGTCGAATCAGTCGATCGTTCTTTGATGTTCTTTTGAGATCTAATAATCTAATACTGCAGTCATTCTCCCGGCTGGTTTCCCTGCCACCCTTTTGGCCCTTTTGGAAAGCATCCTGTGAACTGGGTGACACCCTGGGGCCCTGGCGGAAGAAGAACTCCCTGCACCGCCGAAGTTCACGTCCCAAACACACAGTGCCAATTGAATGCTTACTGCTTCACCACCACCACCACCCCCCTCCCTCAAAAACAGAAAAAGGAACACCTAAGTCTGGCCCCCACCCTACCCTACCCCCCCTCCAACACCAAACGGGCCTTCTTGGCCTTGGACGCCTCGGCCCCCAACTCCCGCGAGGCGCGGCACAGGGCGCCCACGGCCGCCACGCCAGCGAAGCCCAGCACCGCCTTGGAGAGCCCGGCCTCCGGCGGCGGTGACCGGAGCGGAGACGAGGTCGGCTGGGTGTGGGTGTCTTGGGATGGTGCTTTTTGCGCCAAGTGGAAGGACTCAGTGACATAGGTTAGATGGTTTCTTGGAAGAGCTGCTTCAAACGTAAACCCCCATTCTCAAAGGAGGTTGGGCTAAAATGTGTCTTCCTTGACACGCCATGTTGTTTCAAGCACCGACTGAACCTCACAGGCGCGAATCGCTTCGAATGTTCGGTCGGTTGGGAAAGCTGCTGGTGGACACAGCCTTCCAAAGTTGGATTCGCCCAAAGTGCCTATACAATACAGTGAAGACCCTGACAGGTCAGAAGGTAGTTGAAACGATGATGTGGCCTACAAGATCAAACACATCCATGCGAGTTCTTTGTACTTTTCCTCTGGATCCGTGGACCTCAACAGTCAGAGAATCGCTCGCCGCCAATCAGCCTGCAGGACAGACCACAACCCCACTTCCTTCTCATCAGGGCAGTGCTTCCTCGGCTGCCAAGTTGCAAAAGAAACATCAACACTGGCACAACTTCGTCACCGTCACCGCCATGGAGAACACGGTGGGATGATTTGGAATGTGGGGGAAACTCAAATTAATGCAAACTCAGAGAACACGTTGCCAAATCTCTTCATAGGGTTTACGTTCCCTCTCATTCCACCTGAAACGCCCGTCTCATTACGTTCTTCGGTGCTCTCCTGACCTCCGACTCCGACCGTGACGCTTCGACACGATGGGCTCGCGAAGAAGGACTCTGGCTACTGCAATGCGAGCCCATGAAAGAGCTGATTGATAGCCTCGAGTCATTTAGGTCGCCCTCCGTGCCGTGCCCTTCGTGGGTGACCCTGTGCCAAACCCCGAATCCTTCAATAGACACCAAAAAAATAGAAGTTAGTTCGTAGATCCCCACTCACCATGTATTGGTTTCCACTGCCACGGTCATCTAGGGACCGCACACCCGGCCCCACACCTCGACCTGTAAACCCCACGGTCTGCGAGAGAGGCGTCCATGGATGCTGTTGGCACACCCGTTGAAATCGGATCCGGTGAAGGTAGGACAAGAAGAAATCCTCGGTGAAGGCAACGGGCGACGGAATAAAAGCTGCTCGGTGAAACCCGCGGCCATGCCTTGAAAACATGTGCGTTTCTTGGATGCACCGCACCGACACATGGACACACAAAGCCGTTTACTTCGGAGACAACGGCGAAATTCGTGAAACAACCAAAAAGGAATATCCCGCCCCCACAGTTGCACCACGCGGACCGTGCTGTGCTGCAACCCAGGTTCTTCGCTCAGAAAACCTTTGGTGATCACGCTCTCCTCGCAGCGGTCGCCCCAGCAAAGTTTCGGAACTCTTTTGACGTGCCCCCTTCCTAAGAAAATGTTCACACCCCCAAGGCCATCCAGACGGGCAGGGGCCTGTGGGATCGACGCCTTTGAACGCTTGGAACCATTACATTCTGAGTCCTTGAGCGCTCGCACTTCATCTTTGAGGTTTTCAATCTGAAGCTGCCAATCTCGCCCAGCAAACTCCATGGCCAGAAATTCAAGGTGAGGACATCTTGCGTAAGCCACGTTAAGCACAACGCTCAAGTGGTGAGACGACTTGGATGTGTAGTGAGGTGATTGAAGTTCCATCATTAAAGACTCTCTCATGCGAGTTGCTATTTTGTATGTTTATTTCTGGCTGGAATCGGCGGCAAGGCACTAAAGACCACAACGGGGGCGTCTACTGCCCAACTTTGAAAAAACTGGTCCGCCACCAGAGGAAAAACCCCCGAAACATGATTGAACACTTCGCTTGGGAACTACATGCAGGAGGCCCTGGATCAAAATGGGGCATCCCTCCATTCTGCGACTGTACCGTTGCTTTCACCGGAGCCTGCTGGCTCCCCCGCTCACCATTTGTTTCGAAAGCTGAACTGGAAGTCCCCGGTTTGTTGTAGCACCCAACATTCCAGAATTTGACGGGCCGAGTCTACTTGAACAAAGCGTTCCATCAATGTACTTGAGTGGGAGGAGGAGGTGGATTAAGTTCATCCTTGACAAACAGTCAAACAAATTTTCGAAGTATGCCTCCGTGAGCTTTGAGTTTAAAAATTTGAAGGTTGCATAGGGTGAGTTAGCTGCTGATCGGGCCTGCCATACGTTTGCGCGTCAGTCGCGGCGAATTTCGCGTGAAGTGGAGTGGAGGGAAAACGAGCACATGCGCTGAATGTTTGACACATGGCGATCGATATCCAGGCTAGATTTAGTTTGTGCCTTTATTTGGTAGCCTTACCCACTATAGTGATGAACGAACCCCCGACAACTGGACAAGCAAAAACTGGAGATTGCAGTAAGCCCTCAAACGTCTACGAACGCACCACGTTGAACTACACCTGTCTACCCCGCTTGGCCCCGCTTTCGCACCCAGGACCACGAGGTGCTCTTTGGAAGCTTTCGGTCCAACCGGGTTTTGCTTGCATCACACTGCTTGGTGGCTCCCCGAACCCTTGCGGCGCATGTTTGTGGCCAGCTCGCCCTTCTCTGCGGCATCTTGGTCCGCTTGACCTCGGAAAGGTCGTGAGGGGCATGGGGGGGAGTCGTCCGTCGAGTCTTGGGAACATATCTCCAGCGCGTGTGGCGCTAGATCTTTTTATAGTATGTATGGACGTTGGCTCAAAAATGTCTGTAGAAAGCCCTTCTGGGCCACCATTGCTGCTTCGAATGTGGGCTCAAAACCCTGATCCACACCTCGCCGGAGAAGTGGGCCTGACTCCTGGCTGCAGCCCTCTTAAAAAGGAGGTTATATAAGTAACCGTGAATAGGACCCGAGCTACCTGAAATATATACCCAACTGGGATAGTCTATAGGTATGAAACAAAGGGTTTTTCGAATCTCTGTTGGTGTGCAAAAGTGCCCGGATGCGCAAAAAACATCGCTGAGGTGCTGAAGGCACCGCCCTGCTCGAACTTCTGCGTGTCCGCGACCTCTCGTTGTGCGTCGTGCGGTCCGCCCGCCAACTCTTGCAGGAAGACTCCACGCCTCGCAGAAGCAAATGCGTTTACATGTTGACTTTGGGAGTGTCAGCTTTTCTCATCAACACAAATGAACTTGGTCTGGTCCTTGGTTGGTGGAGTTGGGACACCGTGTGCATGCTAAAGTTGAAGAATTCGTGCGCGTCCTAGGTTTTCTTTGTTGAGCCACATCCCTAGAAGCCTTCAAGCTTCTCGGTATCATTCATCATTTATCATCTGAAAGGTCTTCTGATGTGGACTATCCTCAAGCCCATGGGTTTCATTCAAGACAAAACATACAAGCTCGGTGCCAATCTCTCTCTCCCCGTAGGCGACTTGGCCCACGCGAGGGTGCGCACGGGTGATGTTGTATGTAGGAAGTGCTTTCGCGAAAGGCTTCGCGAGGCTTCGACATAGCACATTCATGAAACCACCGCATTCGCAACATGCCGTCACAACAAAACACAGTAGATTTTATGCGAAATGGCTACGTGAGCCTTCGCGCGGGGCACGGCCAAGCAGTACGGGCGCCTTGATTTCGCGGGCTGCCGCAGTCGTCACAAAAGCCTGTAGACTGTAGCAAACTATTGACCCAACTCGTGGGCTGCCCGAAAAGAACTGTAGCTCAAAAGGTTCCTTCCACTCCACCCGCCCGAAAAAAGAGTTGGAGATTGCGCCACGAGTCCACAAGTATGACAACATATCGCCGGGCCAGGATGTTTGACTGTAGGGTGTGTGCTTTGGGGAATGCTTCCCGCGATGTGACCAGAGTGTCCAGCAAGGATGTCCCAAAGAGTGTTCTACAAGAGTGTCCCACAAGAGTGTCCGACAAGAGTGTGTCCCACAAGAGTGACCTACAAGAGAATTCCACCGCAGGAGTGTCCCACGAGAGTGTCCTACGAGAGTATCCCACAAGAGTGACACACAAGAGTGTCCCACAAAAGTGTCCTAGAAGTGTGTCCCATGAGAGTGTTCCACAAGAGAGTTCGACAAGAGTGTCCTACAAGAGTTTCCTACAAGGGATTCCCACAAGAGTGTTGTGTCCTACAGGAGTGTTCCGCAAGAGTGTTCCACAAGAGTGCCCAAGAGTGTCCCACAAGAGAGTCCTACAAGAGTGTTTTGCAAGCTGCCCCGCAAAAGTGGGTGTCATACAACAGTGCCCCGCAAAAAGTGGGTGTCATACAACAGTGCCCCACCCACGAGAGTATCCCGCAAAATTGACCCACAAGAATGGCCAACAAGAGTGTCCTACAAGACTGTTTGGCAAGAGTGTCCTACAAGAGTGCCCCACTAGAGTGTCCTTCAAGAGTGTCCCACAAGAGTGTCCTACAAGAGCGTCCCACAAGAGTGTCCTACAAGAGCGTTCTGCAAGAGCGTCCCACAAGAGTGAGTGTCATACAAGGTGTCCCACAAGAGCGCACAAGAGTGTCCAACAAGGCTTTCCGCAAAGAATGCGCCCTACAAGAGTGTCCCACAAAAGTCTCTCCTACAAGAGTGTCAAAATTCTTTGGGCGTTTGTTTTCGAGTACGTGTTTGCATTCGGGTTCGTGGGCTCCAGCTCGTTTTTCGCTGTGTGTTTTCGCATTTTTCGTTTTTTATTTTTTCTCATTGCTGGTTTGCCATTTGTTGTTTCTCTTTTTTTCGCTGTTGCTTTTTCCCGAATGCGTAGCGAAGGGTTCTCGTTTAACTCTGGGGGTCTGCCCTTGTTCGCGACCCGTTGTTTCTAAGTTCGCAACCGTCCGCAACTGTTCGCAGTAGAGCGCTAAGGCGCTGCCATTGGGGGAAGCTTTTGGAGAGGGCTTCGGATGAAAACGTGCCGTGTCAGATTCGTGTGAAATAGCAAGGGATCGTGTGAAAATGTAAGATGTTGAAGTATGGAGGATGATTTCGCTGCGCAGGCGCAGCATTTTGTGAGATCCGCAGTTTTCTGCACAGCTCCATTGGGATTAGCGTTTGGAGAGTCGTGTTTTTGGGGGTTGGATGTGGCCGTGCCATTGGGATTTGCATTTCAGGGTGTGGCATCGAAGCTCTGTTTTCATGACAAGTCTCAGCTGAAATGGCGATTTTGGTGGGTGGGAGTGTGCTCAGAACGGGGCGAAATCATTCCAAACGTGTGGTGTGGTGCAAATTTTGTTGAAGCTCACATGAGATGATATTGTCACTTTTCGTGGCAGGCACAGTACTTTGCGCGGGCTTTGAGGTGTGGAAGTGCGATTTTCGTGGCAGGCGCAGGGAATCGTGAGGTTGCGATGACATTTCGTGGCAGGCGCAGTATACTTTGCGCGCGTTAGATGTGTGGGCGCGGAAGGATTCGTGGCAGGCGCAGGGAATCGTGAGGTTGTGAGTTGCGGTAGAGGTGAATGTCGCTGTCACATTGGGGTTGGCGTGTGAGCGGGTGTTGCTTGGCGCGAAACTGCTTGGCAGGGCTGCGTGATGTGTGTGCTCCGGTGGGTGTTTCCACTTGACTTTTGGAAGAAGTCTCGTACGAAACGCTCGTATTGCAGACTTTGACATGCAGTTTTTGAGGAAGTCTCTTACGAAACGCTTGTTTTGGAGACTTGACGTGTGACTTTTTGAGGAAGTCTCGTACGAAACGCTCGTTTTGGAGACTTGACGAGTGACTCTTGGAGGAAGTCTCGTACGAAACGCTCGTCTTGCAGCCTCGAAGCGTGACTTTTGGAGGAAGTCTCGTAAACCGCGTGACTGCTTCTAGTGTGTGGGCAGACCGTGTGGCGACACGACGTTCGTGATGTCGCAGTGCCTTTGGGATTTGCGCGGCCTTGGTGGAAAGTGCGTTTGCGTGGCGCGGGAGCGCGAAACAGGCTGGCGTAAACGTGGCGTGTCGCTGGTGAGCGGGATGATTTGTGTGGTATCATGTGACATGTTTGCTTCTATAGTGTCTGGGCGCGCAGCACCATTGGGATTTGCGCGGCCTTGGTGGAAAGTGCGTTTGCGTGGCGCCGTGCCACTGGGGAGCGCGAAACATGCTGGCGTAAACGCGGCGTGTCGCTGGTGAGCGGGATGATTTGTGGTATCAAGGGTGTCCCAAAAGACTGCCCCGCAAGAGCTTCCTACAAGAGCGACCCACAAGAGTGTCCTATGAGTGTCCCACAAGAGTGTCCCGCATGAGTGTCCACAAGAGTGTCCTACAAGAGTGTCCCACAAGAGTGTCCTACAAGAGTGTCCCGCAAGAGTGTCCTACAAGAGTACGTATCCCACAAGAGTTCCTACAAGAGTGTCCCACAAGAGTGTCCCACAAGAGTGTCCCACAAGAGTGTCTCACAAGAGTGTCCTACAAGTGTGTCCCGCAAGAGTGTCCTACGAGAGTGTCCCACAAGAGCGTCGCACAAGAGCGCTACAAGAGTGTCCCACAAGAGTGTCCTACAAGAGTGTCCCGTAAGAGTGACCCACAAGAGTGTCCTGTAAGAGTGTTCCACAAGTTTCTTGGAAGAGTGTCCCACAAGAGCATCGTGTAAGAGTGACCCACAAGAGTGTCCCAGAAGAGTGTCCCACAAGAGTGTCCTACAAGAGTGTCCTATATGTAGCTTTTCGAACGTGTTTGCATTCGGGTTCGTGGGCTCCATCATGTTCCTTTTGCTTTCTTCCTTTTGGATGTGTTGATTTTGCTTTTTCATTTGCTGCTTTTTCCCGAGAGCGCCTGCGAAGGGTTCTTCGTAAAAAAACATCTGCAGAACTACGTCTCATCTACATCTTCACATCTTCACCTCTGCACATCCACATTCTCACCTATATCTCTGCTCATCTTCACATCTACATTCACAACTGCACATCTACATCTCTGCACATCTTCACATCATCACATCAACATCTCCGCTCATCTTCATCTTCATTCACGTCTGCACATATACATCTCTGCTCATCTTCACATCCTCACATCTACATCTCACATCTTCACCTCTCGCTTTTCTTAACTTTCTCTCTTAAGGCCGGGGGCAGTGCCGCTGGATCGCCAGGAAACGCGGCCCTCCGCGGAGATCGTGCGTGTCGAGTGCGCGAAATGCAGGCGAGAGTGCGATTTGGTTTTGTCGCGGGCAACCCTCTGCGGGGATCGCGCGTGTCGAGCGCGCGAAATGCAGGCCAGAGTGCGTTTTGGATTTGGCGCGGGCAACCCTCTGCGGGGATCGCACGTGTCGAGTGCGCGAAAGCAGGCGAGAGTGCGTTTTGGATTTGGCGCGGGCAACCCTCTGCGGAGATCGCGCATGTCGAATGCGCGAAACGCAGGCGAGAGTGCGTTTTGGATTTGGCGCGGGCAACCCTCTGCGGAGATCGTGCGTGTCGAGCGCGCGAAATGCAGGCGAGAGCGCGTTTTGTCTCTGTCCGGCGCAACCCTCTGCGGAGATCGTGCGCGTCGAGTGCGCGAAATGCAGGCGAGAGCGCGATTTGGGTTTGTCCGGCGCAACCCTCTGCGGAGATCGCGCGCGTCGAGCGCGCGAAATGCTGGCGACAGGGCGATGAGTCCCATGCGCGCGCGTATCTGAAGAGCTGGAAGATGAGAACTGGCGAAGTTATAGTACAACTTTAGTACGCAGAGTATCTGGGGAGCTGGAAGATGAGAACTGGCGACTTTGTAGTACAACTTTAGTACGCGGAGCAA